AAGGGATCAAGATTTTGGTAAAAATGGTGACATGGAGAGATTATGCAAATCAAGAGATGGGTGCCTAGTCATTGCTGTAGAGGAAGAGAAATAAGGAAAGTGGTTTGAGAATAATAATGAAAATGAAGTATCTTTTTATGGTTCACACATGCAACATTTGAAGTAGTTCTTCACCATAGAAAGCACCTAAAAAAAGTAGCTCAGTTTGATTTATTTAAAATAATTAATTTGATTTATTTTCATTATTCATGTCTTATTTATGAGGCAAAATTATGGTGTACCTGTGATTTATGTAATTCATGAGTGAACCAAAAATAAAATGTGATTGTCATGTTGTTCATTGGTGGAGAAGAAATAAATGATAAATCTAACCGTAAAGTGATTGTGAAAGAGAGAGATTTGAAAGGAAATGTTCTATTATTGAATGGAAAGCATCAGGCTGTTAAATAGCCAATACACCGCAAAGCAAAAACTGAAAATGCAATAAATACGAAGTTATTGCTACACCTCTAACTGACAGGAAACTAAAGTAAAAGAATCCCAAATAAACCGGGATTTTATTTGGCCAATTCTTAACAATTCCTCCCTTAAAATAAATTCTTTTAATACAAAGAAGTTAGTTTACATTGTTCTTTGTACAGACTCCAAGCATTGCATGCAGCTTCAAAAAGATATCCAGCTTGAGAGGCTTCGTCATCACATCAGCAATCAGTTCCGAAGTGTTACAGTGAATCAGTTCTATCACTCCTGCCTGTACAAGCTCTCGAAGAAAGTGAAAACGAACATCAATATGCTTGCTACGTCCATGCATTACTGGTTTCTTGATAGCTTGATAGCAGAACTACTATCGCACTAAATAGTTATGGAGTCTTGCTCAGTTTGATCAAGTGTCATGAGCAACCACTTTAGCCAAATAGCTTGACAGGAACATGATGCCGCTGCGATAAATTCTGCCTCTGTGGTTGACAAACTTACAATTGGTTGTTTCTTCGAACACCATGATACAGCTCCAGATCCAAAAAGAAAGACATTTCCAGTTGTACTTTTTCTATCATCCACATCTCCGGCATAGTCACTATCAGTATATGCTATGAGTTTATCACTTCCTCCCTTCTTGTAAAAAATTCCAAACTCAGCAGTTCCTTGTATGTACCTTAGTACCCTCTTTGCTAGTTGTAAATGGAGTTGAGTGCGATTCTCCATATACCTGCTCAGAAGACTTACAACAAACATCAAATCTGGACAGGTCGAAGTGAGATACATAAGACAACCCACCATTTGCATGAAGCAAGTTTTATCCACCTGTTGTCCTCCTTCATCTTTACAAATCTTAAAACCAGGAGCAATTGGAGTTTGAACTGAGTTGCTTTGATTCATCCCAAAACGTTGCAACATCTCCTCAGCATATTTCTTTTGATAGATAAAGATTCCTCCCGATGTCTGCAAGATTTCAAGACCCAAAAAATACTTCATTTTTCCAAGACCAGTCATGTCAAACTCAAGCATCATCGAGTTCTTAAATTCAGTAAACATCAACTCGTCATTTCCTGTAAACAGAAGATCATCAACATATAAGCTCACAATGAGCATGCTGCCCCTTTTGTTTTGTTTAACAAAAAGAGTATGCTCATATTCACATTTTTTGAAACCTTCCTTAATAAAATATGCTTCAATGCAACTGTACCAAGCACGTGGAGCCTGTTTAAGCCCATAAAGAGCTTTCTTTTATTTGTACACTTTTTCTTCTTTCCCTTTCTGCACATAACCACGAGGTTGCTCAACAAAGACATCTTCAGCTAATTCTCCATGTAAGAAGGCAGACTTCACATCTAGTTGATGTATAGCCCACCCCTTTTGTGCGGCGTACGCAATTACCAACCGCACAGTCTCCATACAAGCTACTGGAGCAAAAACTTCTGTGTAATCTATACCGTACTGCTGTGCATATCCTTTCACTACCAGTCTTGCTTTAAACTTGTCAACTTTTCCTTTTTCATTGAGTTTAGTCTTGTAAACCCACTTTACTCCAACTACTTTAGCTCCCTTTGGCCGATCAATTAATTCCCAAGTGCCATTTTTCTCAATCGCTTCAATCTCTATATCCATGGCATTTCTCCATTTTTCTATCTTCACAGCTTCTTCAAAATTGAGCGGTTCAGCACCAGCAGTATATAAGGCAAAGAATGCTGAGTAAAAGACAGCCTCTTCATCAAACAACCCTTCACCGGACACATAGTCTCTTAGCCAAGTTGATTGCCTTCTACTCCTCCCTTCCATAAGACCTTCAGAAGTGTCTTGATTAATGGTAAGAGACTCTTCCGGTTGTGCATCAGCAACATCTTCTACAGGAGATTCTTCTGAAACAACTTTGTCATCATCTTCCCATTCTAGCTCGCAAATAGTAGTTGACTCATGGTTGTTCCATTCCCATGCTTCATTTTCTGCAAAAACCACATCTCTGCTTATTATAATCCTTTGTGAGATAGGATCGTAAAGCCTGTATGCCTTTGATTCGTCACTGATTCCGAGTAAAACACACTTCAAGCTTTTCGCATCTAGTTTAGATCTCAAATTATCAGGTACGTGAGCATAAGAGACACAACCAAAGACTCTGAAATGCTGGACTGATGGCTTGATTCCGCTCCAGGCTTCTTCGGGTGTTTTTTCCTTCACCGCTAGTGTTGGACAGTGATTTAACACGTGCACAGCCCAATTTACCGCTTCTGGCCAGAAGGTTTTAGGCACTTTCTTTTCAGATAGCATGCTGCGAACCAAATTCATGATTGTTCGATTCTTCCGTTCTGCAACACCATTTTGTTGCGGTGAATATGCAGCTGTCAATTGTCGTTGCACTCCATGCGCATGGAAAAAGTTATTGAATTCTCGAGATGTGAACTCTCCACCAAGATCTGTGCGCAACCCTTTGAGTGACATATTTGTTGCTTTCTCAACATGTAACTTGAAGCTTTTGAAAACAGTAAAAGCCTCTGATTTTTCTGCCAAAAAATAAACCCAAGTTTTTCGGCTAAAATCATCAATAAAAGTAAGCAAATACCTTTTCTTGCTATTTGAGACTGGCTTAATTGGTCCGCAAATGTCGGCATGAACAAGTTGAAGAATCTGTGAAGCTCTCCAAGAACTTTTCATGGGAAATGAATCTCGATGTTGTTTCCCAATCAGATAATCTTTGCACAGCTTAGAGGGCGGCTTAAGCATTGCTAAACCTTCCACCATTCCTTTTTGTTGCAGAGTCTGTAAGCCTTTAAAACTTAAGTGGCCAAACCTGCAATGCCACAACTGTGCTACATCTTCCGTAACTGTGTTAAAACAAGTAGGTGCTACAGGCAAGGAGATGGCATGCAAGATAAACATCCGATTCGATGACATATTAGATTGCATAATCAAACCTTTGTCTGGATGATATATTTTGCATTTTCCTTGCTGAAATAAAATGCTCAACCCCTTCTCTTGCAATTGTCCCAGACCCAACAAATTGTTCTTCAATTCCGGAACATAAAAACCTCCCGAGATAATGCTAATAACTCCATTTACATCAAGTCTGATGTTGCCTTTCCCATTAACCACCATATTGGAATTATTGCCCAGTTTCACTGAATCTGAGAAGGTCTCATCAAGCTCAGAAAAATATTCCTTTTTGCCGCACATGTGATTACTGCACCTAGAGTCAAGAAACCAGACATCTGTCTTTTGTTGCTCTTTTGTTTCAACATAAGCCATCAACAACATGTGTTCTTCGGCACTCTCTACCTGACTTTCTGCAAAATTTGTCACCCCTTGTTTACATTCCCACTGAAAGTGCCCGAGCTTGTGACAATTATAGCATTCCACGGTTGCTTTATCAATATTTTGCCTGCTTCTTCCACGACCTCTACCTCCAGAATTCCAACGCCCTCTTCCTCGTCCAGCAGGACCATCATATTGGTTGCTCTAAGTCACCTTCAGAGCATGTTCTTCATGGACAGTATTACCCATGCGTTGTTCATGCACAAGCAAACTACTTTGTAGCTCATCAATCGACAATATACTTGTATCCTTGGATTCTTCAATGGAACACACAACATAATTGAACTCCGATGTCATGGACCTTAGAATCTTTTCTACCACTGCAACTTCTTTCAAATCGTCACAATTGGCTTTCATCTTGTTACTAATGACAAGAACACGATCAAGGTACTCATTCACTGATTCTCCTTCCTTCATGTGAGCAGTTTCAAAATCTTTTCGCAAAGCTTGGAGATGAGCACGTTTTACACGGGTTGTTCCTTCATATTTCTTCTTCATGGAGTCCCAAATACTCTTGGATGTATCTTTGTTGATTATAGTTTCCAAAATTGAACGATCTAAAGCCTGAAACAAATAGTTCTTAGCATTAAGATCCTTCAATTTCTGCTTTTCATAAGTTTTCTTTTGTGCCTCAAATAGAGTGACACCTTCTGCTGCTGCAGAAACTCCATTTTCCACCACAACCCAATACTCCTTTGATCGTAGAAAATTCTCCATAAGCATCGCCCAATGACTGTAGTGACCATCAAATCTTGGCACTGCTGGTTGAACAAAAGTACCTTCTGTAGCCATTGTCGTTGCTTAAATCCGAGAAGACTGCTGCTTCTACAGAGCCCCTTGCGAGGCTCTGATACCAAATGATAAATCTAACTGTAAAGTGATTGTGAGAGAGAGAGATTTGAAAGGAAATGTTCTATTATTAAATGGAAAGCATCAGGCTATTAAATAGCCAATACACCGCAAAGCAAAAACTGAAAATGCGATAAATACGAAGTTATTGCTACACCTCTAACTGATAGGAAACTAAAGTAAAAGAATCCCAAATAAACCGGGATTTTATTTGGCCAATTCCTAACAATAAATACCCTTATATATATATGAATAATTAAATTGAACGATTTAGATGATAAATTTTTTATTAATGTATTAAATTTTATTTTTTGATGACAAAATCCATTTTCCCAAAAAAAAATTGATTATCCCTTCCAGAATGTTCCTGATCTAACCTCCACTGGAACTGCCATTGGCATCATCACCATGGATCCACTAGTACTAGCACCACCAATGTCTACACAAAAAAAGCATCGCAACTCCGTCACAAATGACTCCTCCCTCATTGATCGTCTTCCACTACCTTTGCTTCCTTGGTTATGATGACGACATTGTCAAGCAGCTATATGCCAACATTAGACCCAAGATCCGCATCGATTATGCACTCCTTGGCAATGACAAGAGCGATGTCATGGACCTTAGAATCTTTTCTACCACTGCAACTTCTTTCAAATCGTCAC